TTTTTGTGATTCCATAGCTACCAAACCCCAATGCTGATCCCAAAATACGGGCTTAAGGAAGTATTGCTGCTTCAGGGCAAACAGGAGGTTACCAATGTCACCTGCTGAGGCACAAAGGAAGGGCAGAGAAAATAGGTTACACTTAAAGTAGGAGCCCGAGCAGAAAGTGAATTAAACAAGTGCCAAGTGGTTTCTCTGGGGTAAGCAGAGAGTAAAAGAGAAGCCCTGTGAAGGGAGGGAGTGTCTCATGAGTGCCTTTTGTGGCTATTGGGGTGCAGTGTTAGGGCCATTGGAGCGCAGAAGAAACAGGCTGCAGCACAGGAAGAAAAGGGGACAGTGTCTGGAACTTTGTGGCCCGTGGTGGGTGAGGAGCCAACGCAGGGCATTTGCTGGACACCCTGCCAGCAGCACTGGTGACAAGTGACTCTTGCATGCAGGAGGTGGAGGAGAAGCTGGTGTGTGAGGCAGTCGTGGAGCCAGAGATGATAAAGATAATCAAGACAAAGGTCACCTGCAAGTTCATTTCTCCCGCTCTGCAAATATCATCCAAAGCAATCACTTTCTGTGTGGAGAAGGTAAGTCTCTGGATTGCATCCTGGCATTTAACAGAATGGCTCAGCGAGAGAGCTCGTGGGGGGGTGTGCTTGTATTAACACCCCTCTTTACCCTTCCTGAGGCACTTTGTAAAGTAAGTGAGGATGTTTTTAGAGATGAGACTGGTTTTTAACTTCCTCAAAGTAGAATTGTGGCTACAGCTGCACTGCTGGGGGGGACCATGGCCACTTGGAGAGAAATGCCAGTTGCTGTGCTCACTGTCAAGGGAGGTTTTTGAGGATCCTCCAACACATGGTGACATCTGAACACCAGTGCTGTAAGGAAGCTGGGAAAACCAGAGATTTCTGTGAATTCCTCAGGCTGATGAGGAAAAACTTGTCATCTCCTGTGTGTCTTTGCCTTCTCTGCTGTTGGTATGGATGCTCTATGGCATAGCTATATGGTACAGCTCTGTGCATCTCCCCAAGCCTCGCCTGCTTCAAAGGACCCACACACGTCCTGCAGCTGCAGTGATGATGACACCAAGGCAAAGCAGGTGCCCTTTAGTCTCTGGATTCCAACTTCTGCATCATCATTTCCACAAGGTGTCTGGAAAAGATGTTGCATTATTTAGTTTCTGTGGTTTCGGGTCTCTCCTCAGGTTCCCAGGCTTCCATGGAAGCACTGAATCCTGGGAACAGGCAGTTCAGATGTAATGAGAAGCTTTTCAGCTCTCCCTGATGCCTGCCTGTGCTCTGCTTGATGCCACACTGATTTATGGAGTACTCTGGCACTGCAGCTGTTTGATATCAATACATCCAGAACTAGTTTCCCAAACTCTGTCTGGTTTCTCTGCCCCATGCAAGATGCCCACCACAATGCACAAACAAGAAGAAGGAGCTTAGGCTGATTAAAGCTTTGACACCATGTGCCTGTAGCAGAGGTAGCAGGACACACATTGCAGAGAGACTGTTGAGGTTTCTGGCTGGCCACATGTTCATGGAATCTTCAAAGTTGACCTTGGGCTGCTGCAGGATCTCCACCACGGCCAAATCCTGCTTGCTTTTCTCTTCTGACTGGCATCACTGCTTCTAGGAGGCTGCTAGAGCTAGTAAGGCTGTGAGAAATGACTATATATGAGGGAAGATCATCTTGTGCTGTTGTGCCCAAGAGAGGAGACAAAACTGGAGACAAACGTTCTGGGGTCACTTTCTGCCTTCAATTTTGTTCAAGCAGCTGTCTCCTCTCAGGGGCCTATTCCCTCCTCTGTACATGGGAGTGTCTCCTTGTCTCCCAGGGGAAGCTGTGGTTTCCAAACATGAAAAGAATCAGCTATAGAGAAAAATGTCCTGGAAGGTTTAGAAACAAATAAAAACAGTAAATAGAGATGCATGCACTTCTGAGGTTGAAAAATGTGAAATGCATTGGAAGGGGAAGGAGATCTGTGGCTCCTTGAGGTTGTTTTTCCTTGTCTTCTGTTTCTGTAGTACCCCGATGATGACCTGACTCTTCAGTACAAGCCTCTGTCTTTAAAAAACACCTGCTGCCTGCCATTCCACCTTTTCCTGGACTTGGAGCAGCCATTCCTAATCTGTGATGCAAACCAGCAGCCCCTCCCTGCAGAGGCCCAGGTGAGCAGCCAAGGACCCTCCTGCCAGTGGGCTTTGAAGAGGGAGGGCTGCGGTGGTGCCCTTCTGTTGGGAGGTCCTCGAGTCGAGAAGTAGAGTCAGCAGTGCACTGGCCTGAACTGTGAACTGAGTCAGCAGAGCTGCTGAAGGAAGCAAAAACTCATCTGAATTGGAAAGATCTCTCCTGGCTCTAAGATACAAAGAGAAGGTGTGGGCAAGCCATGCAGCAGAGGTGTCTCCTGGAGAGCATCCCAGCTCTCCAGCAGCCATCCTCTTGGATTGCTGTTGAGCACAGAAACAGGAGCCTGAGAATCTCCCACCAGAGTGTGGTGCTTGCAGTCAGACCCTCCCTTGTAAAGAACTGAAGGGTGGACTGGGAAGCCTGTGCTGGGGTCACACTTTGAGCGTTTACGGTTTCATGCTGTCAGACCTTGGGACTTCATCATGTGGGTGACTAATACTCCTTGTCTCCTTGCAGCCTGTGAAGATGGAGGCAGGGCAGGAACTTCATCTCTACATCAGCTTTAACCCAGCCTATGAAAAGGATCCAGTCAGCCGGGTAGCAGAGAAGACTATGAAGATCCGGCTTGTGGAACATCCTTATGAGGAAGAGATCACCGTTCGGGGAGAGGTCTACTTCCCGAATCTCCGTATCCCGACCAAAGCATTGAACTTTGGTTGCATCCTGACAGGCACAGAGCAAGTGCGTTACCTGGAGATGACCAACTGCGGCCCAATCCCTGCCCACTACCGCTGGTCATTCCAGGTGGACAAGAGAGAGTACCCAACAGGGTATGTGCACTTTTGCCCTCTCCTGGAAGCTCTTTTTCCATATGTCCTGTTTGTAATTTGCAAAGACCAAAGCTGTTTTTCTTTTGACTTTCCCTTGTGGAAATAACACTGACCAGCCATGGTCAGGCTGGATGCTCAGGGAATAAGTGTTTTCCACAAGTTTGGTGCTGCTGTAGCCCCCCTACTGGTTTCCTCTGGGAAGGAAAGCTGGTGGGGAAATCTGCTTTCTCGGACCTCTGTGGCCTGAGGCAGTGACCACCTTGGTGAAGGGCTCCTAGTCCCAGCTCCACAGTGCTGGTGGAGGCTCTTTCCCAGCCCTTTGGCCCCTCTGCTATGGGATGGGTCCTCTCTGCAAGCAGAGAAACTGCCCTCTGCTCCTTGCCACCTTCTCTGCATTCCCAGCCTTGGCCTGGAAGTGCTGGAGGATGCCCAGAAAGTCCCAATTCACACCACAGAAAGAGCTAGTTAGCACCTGAGCTGATGCTGAACATCTTGTTACCTTCCCCTTCCTTCTCCTTTTCTGAGACACCCCCTTTCTGAGCTCACCGCACCTGCACCCACCTGGGGGCTGCATCCTGCCGAGGAATTGCTCGTGCAGGTGTCCCTCCCTCCCCCTGCAGGTCCGTGATCACAGTTACGTTGTTTTCCAGGTTCATACCTTCCCCACCTGCATTCAAATCAAAAACGATCCAGTGTCCTGAGTGTGCGCATTATCCAAGGAGGTACTTCAGGCCTGGAAGTGTGCAGAAGCCAGCCAAAGCCCCGGAAGCAGCGCAAGAGTCTTCCCAACAGGCATCACATCCAGCAAACTGCCAGGAAACAGAACAGGATTCTTCCCAACAGACAGCACATTCAGAGAACTGCGTGGAAACAAAACAGGATTCTTCCGAAGAGTCATCAGATTCAGAGGA